GGCGCAGTAGAGATAAATGTAGCCATCCACTTTTTTGCTTATAATATATGTATATTTATACCAGTCGGTAGTAACTCTTTTGTATAACAAGAATATTTAGTCAGTATTCATAAACAAGCGATGAAACGTGTGTACAAAGATACATATTTTATATAGTTTTTATTAAAAGTTAATGACAAATTAAGCAACGTTCAAAGTAAAAACACATAATAAAAATTTATACTGAAACATTATTAACAATGAAATGCGATAAATAATAAAATATAAAATTAATCGTTTCTTTTAATTTCCTAAACAAAAAAGAATATGTTGATTTTATTTAAAAACAGAATAAATTATATTAAATTACTAATAAAAATAAAAATACTTATAATAAACATATAATTATTAATAGAATATTTTAAAAATTTATTACATGCTTTTAATATTACTCGGCTAGCGCAATTTATTTGAAATGTACTCTGCGTGCGCGTAATTTTAGACAAGGTTGTACTCGACCAAACAACATGACCAAAAATTGTTATACTACACTGTGAAGTGCCGTTTCCTGCTGCGTATCGAAACTTTTTGGCGTTACGCTCAATGTCATTGTAGTAATAAATTGTGCTTCAAGTGCGCCAAAGGCATGGCGAGCCGCATAACTCACGCACCATTTCTTCGCAACGATTCGGCCAGCGACACACCACACAGTAGGATCTAGTTCATGAATAGTTTTATATTTGCTATGAATAAATTCATGAAGGGGGACTGTGCGAACGATTGTAAACGGAAAAGCGCAGGGAAATCAAAGTCCCATTGGCTTTGTTTGCCTCGAGAAATATATATATTCACGCGAAAGACTTTATTTTTGACATGTATAATATGGTATACGACATGCCAAAAATGTAAATAAAAAAATAACGATAAATAGTAATTCTTCAAAGCATCCAAAATATGCAGATGCAAAAATACACTACAGTCACTATTGACTATTCTGTACGTATGTATCACAGTTTTTTGACGAATGTTCCTATTTGTTTTCATTATTCGCATCCATCCATTCGCCCTTTCGCTTCATTGTAGCCTGTAAAAAAATTGTAGTAACATTCCCACGAATTATTTCATTAGAACAAACAAGACAATTCAAATATTATTCTGTTTACATCTTCTGGACAACGAAATTTAATCTTCCTAAATTCAACTTTAATAATAATATATTAGAAAGTTTTCAAAACGCATTTAGTATAAAATTCATTAACGTCATTTACAAATATTGAGTTAAAATTATAAATAATATGAATATTATGACTTAATAATATAAACAGTATAGCATAAAATAATAATTAATCTTTTTCTTTTCAAAATAATTGATAAATGTTGTGTTTATATTATTAAGGGGAAAAATTTCAACTTTTTTGTTATTACTTATTTATATAAAAAAATACATATATAAACTGTCTTAATTAAAATTATGACATATTTGCTTTAAATAACATATAAGAGCGTAAGAGAGTTTTTTCTAAAGAAAATTAATTTCCTCATTTTCATGTGAGGCAGAATATTAAGAAAAGTACGAGATTACATGTGTATATAATAAATAATAAAGTGTTGCAGTAAATTCTGTGTACACATAAGAGCGCAATAGGGAAAATGCGGTAGTATAATCTATGCTCGGCAAATCTGTTGGGAATTATCGTATAATACCGTTTTATATCTTACGTATAATTACTTAGCTTTACATGTGGAATTACCATTTATGCAGTAGAAATGAAAACATGTAAAATACATGGAAAAGTGGAAAAATGGCAAAGGTAAAATTACGAGGTCTTAACTTCACTGAGCGAAGTTTTCTAGTGGCAACGGAAAGTCGTACTTCTTAATTACGGGACAGAATAAACTCTACGGCTGACTTTTCGATCGAATTTAAAGTTAATTATAAGATATGGCCAAACGAACGCCAGACTTTACAAACGAACGCTTTATATTAAAGACTTAAGAGCTGGAACGAGTAAAAAATCGATAAGAAGACAAACTCATAGATTGCAAATACATCCGTGTCTTAATTACTGCAATAACGAACGAGACAACAATGATACTTTCAATAATAAAAATGTATAATTAAAATAAATAGCAGATCGAGGAAATTCTTTCTTATGGATTTCTCCTCGCTCGATGTTGACTTACCTTAAAAGCATCCCTGAAAGCTCCGTAATATATCTTTCGAATTAGGTGAAGAAAATTCATGATAAACGGTTTACTTTAAAAGTACTATATTTATATAATCCGTCTCGTATATCTTCTTAATAGCCGTATTGTAGATATTTTATATACAAATGTATACACTCTGTACATTCTATTCTACATGTTAAACGTTAACATGTAATCTGTACACAAACGGAAATTTTAATTAGGTTTTGCTTTCTGTAAAAACTGCGTCCATGAATGTCTTTTCGATCGTAGTTAGCATGCACATGATTTTCACACACTTGCGATCGGCGTTTAATTGATTAATTTAATTATAACGATCTGGTCGTGAGTACAACAGTCTGCGCACGTACGGTTGTATTTTGCAATTTTCTTAGGTATGTGTATATTCTGTATGACTTTACGAGCCATTAAGTATAGAAATTGCATGACGAAATGCATGAAGACAAATCATGCTCGTCAAGTTGAAATATATTGTCCATAATATTACTGCGTCGGATATGTATGACTATACATATGTACAAATCACTCGTGCTTTCTTATAATGACGCAGGATCTAGCTTTTCTGATTGTATCTGAAAGGGATTTAGTTCGTCTACATCAGATTTTTTTGTAATACACACAAATATACAGATGCTTCTAATTTTTTTTCATAATTACTAGAATAACAATAATATATTAGTAACAGCAATAACACATCTCATTTTTCATAAATCAAAAAATATAAATTTTCATTAACAAGAAAACACTTTTTCAAAACTTAACATTCACAATAAAGATAAGTACTCAATCAGAAAGAAAAAACTAATCTAATAATTTAAAACTATAATATTGGAGCATTAAAAGTTAAATAAAGAATAATGTCTTAATAATAATCATAATAATAGACAATGTTCGATAAGAAATAAGGCAGCATATCGTAAAGAATATTTAATCGATTCAGTAAAACAAAAAAATGTAAAGCATAATATAAATTATATTTTTAAAAATATATTTTTAAATATATAAAGAGGGAGATTTGCATGAAAGTATTAAGAATCTATTTTATTTAAAATGTAACAGATACTATGCGTCGAATTAAAATTATACACTATGTTTCATAAAATTTTAAGTGTAACTAATTATTCATTTGTGCCTTTATATTCTGCTCGAGTTCTGCTATATTTTTGCTAAGAATTGTAAATCAGTAGACAGATACAATGATGTATAATATAGTCTGTTAACATTTAGAAGGAACTAACCACACGGAAGAATTAACATCAGACAATCCAACTGGAGAACCATCAGGCGATCTGACGGTTTGTAAATGGAACTTACAAAGGAGGAGTGGAAACCAGTATAATCGTCATTGTGCAAAATCGCGCGATTATCAAACCGAATGATTTTAGATGTCTCCCGCAGCAATCGTAAAATGAATGTATAGCCTGCCATTTATTTCGATCTTCGATTCCGATCAAAATATTTATATCACCGTTGGAAATAGATATTGAATTCTCGTGAAAAACCGTGAACGACATGTCGCTGATTCGGCACAATTGGACATGTATACGTATCATACGTGTGTGTGTGTGTGTGTGTGTGTGTGTGTGTGTGTGTGTATGTGTGTGTGTATGCATGTATGATGTGCATTACGAACTATAAATGCATCTTTGAATTATCATCTCTTGAATCTGTTGACCAAACGTGCGCAGACTCGCACGTTTCTGCAGAAATTACGTGGAAAAATAGTTTACCTAACATCATCGCGTTTTGTATATCGATCGGACCGATAAATGTACCATCGCTATTTCTCGGCGCCGATCAATGCCAGTCGCATTTTACGAGGTACCGTTAAACGATACTGACTAAAATTCGCATTTTCTATCGGGTGTCGCAACTCAATCGACACATATATCATGTCTAAGATCGTTGAATCTATAAAAAGTTGTATTTTTATTTCAATGTCAATCGTGACTCGATCCAATGGTTTTAAGAATTTATTGCAACTTCTTTCCGCGATGCACGAGGCGTTGCTAAAGAAGACGTATCGTTTCCCGAAGCATATAGTTAGACTATGTGATGGAAATACGTCGGATCGAAGAATTACGATGTTCTTTGAATCTCAAATCGTTTTATCACACAAGTGTACGCTATAAATTCTTTATCCGGTTTACACGACGATTCACAAAATAAGATGCCTAGCTAATCGAAATAATTAGTCGTTTCTGAGAAAATCCCGCGGGCCACTTTACTCATGTCTTTCTCTGCAAAGTGGGGAAGACCGCAAACCGTTGTACAAGTTTGTTTTTCTCTTCAGTTGACGAGTGATTAATAGCCTTTGGTTTCCGCTTCTCCGTTCCCGGGTGGCCTTGCAGTGTGCGAACAAATGAGATTTCGTTCCCGATATGTTACGTACCATTAAGCCCACGAGATTTCACAAAAATCGATAAGCAGTATCGGATAAGCCGCGCATCTTAAGCTGCCTATTACAAATTTTAAAGAAAGAAAATATGAGGTGTTAAAATTTTGCGTAACGGAACTACCGTACATTATAATAAATGTAAAAATAATAATAGCCTAGAAAATTTAACGGAATTGAATTGATATAATCAGAAGAAATGTCTGAAAATGTATTACCTCATTTTTTAAATACTATAAATTGTAACATTCTATAAAATAAATTTAAATTCCACAATATTATTCTGCATTGCAATTTTTAAATAAATATTTTACATACCAGAATCGTATTGCTGAAAGAAAAAATCATAAAAATATTTAAAAAATATTTGTATAAATAAATATATATTGTAAATGTACTTTTTTTTAAACTCAAGAATTCAAGTTCAAGAGCAAAAACTTCTTTTCATCTCCTCACGGAATCAACAATACGCGCGTCGTTTTCTCTTTATCTTTCCGTGTATTGTGAATGTTTTAAGCGACTCTCGATTTAATCGCGCTTAAGTACTAGCCTGAAGTTTACAATACGATCTAGCTCTTTTTCGCTGCTTTTCTCTATTTCAACAACTCATACATCATGAAAGGCAGCGATTGTCATAATGTTTCACGGTAAAATGCATGATTCTCGCAAGAATTCCGATTATTTTCGTCACATAAATTTGTTCATGTGACATCGCCAGCAGATTCTTATCGTATCTACTTGGCTTGTCCAATAGATGCGGCAATAATTTTTTAAATCTCTTTTTTTACTAAAAAACGTGTGTAACGTATTTCGACTGTAAAGAATTACAGTCATCGCTATCTATTCAAATCGCGCTAGTAATGTACCGCAGATATACATTGACTATATACATTAACATATATTTTTCTATCGCCATAGTTAACATCGAAGTTGCATTCGAAAAAGTTTATGTTTCTTAAGACGGCGACTCAAAACGCGTAAATTCGAAGTACATGCCATTTATTAATGTACAAAAACGCTGACGCGAAGTCGCGACGCGAATCGTAAAGCAAACACTAGAAAGGTATAGAAGCCCCGATCTCCTGGTCCAGCGATCTCTTTGTCATGTCAATCGACCTGACTACGCATCGCAGAAAGCCGAGAGACGATTTAATGCCGTCCAGCGAGCTCTGTGTACCGACCGTTCTCCTAGTGGGTCGTCTCGCAGTTCGATTGGGCCAGGTTCGATACATGGGGTCCACGCTGCATCGTTCGAAGGCACTCCAGGTGATCGACGATCGCCGCGGCAGTGGATGCGTGTGCGAGGAACATCCGCAGTGCTGCCAGGACAGGGACGGGGTCTTGCATTTAAATACGGGTACCCTGAAGCCCTCCGGCGGTCGCAGAATCGGTAGGTCGTGCAGTTTCAAAGCAGTCTCTGCTCGTCGCCACGGTTTCGAGATCAGTGAATCGTCCGCTGTCGCCCAAGCGGCGCGATTTATCGAATTATGAAGGGGGAAACTGTTCAATCGAGAGTCCGCGTTAATGCTAATCGTATTGAAACTGGACGCGTCATCAATTATCACCGATTCTTCAAGCCTGCTTGATTCATCAGCGGGTTTTTCGATATGCTTCTCTTCAATCAAATGGATATGAGTTGATACATCGCTGATCTTGGATGACTGATTAATTCTTGACGAATCGCGATTGCAGGATTCATTGATCACGGGCGATCTTTCACGCTCAATCGCGTCGCGATACGTGGATCAGGAAGAAGAGTTTGCTTCCATGGTGGAGCTCGTCGAGGCGTCGTCATCGAGGGAGCTTTGCGTGGCGACGGTCACCTTGTTCCCGACGTTGTTATGAATCGCTGCCGAATAATTTTGACGGGGATGGCGTCTCTTGTAGGGCTCCCAATCCCCAGAATCCCGGCGTCAGTGCGTCGCGATTACGTCCGGCGCACTCTTCGTACTCTCTATACTAAACGGCCGTCTTTGATCAACCTCGATCACTGCTTCCGCTCGATACCTCGGGTCCATTGGCTGACGTTTAGTCGGCGTGTTGCCGGAAGAATGCTGTGATGTGCTCGATGTGGTGTTGCTAGATGCATGGCCAGATCCATAAACGGAACTACCATATCTCTCGCCAGAGCCCACTGTAGGTTGTCGCGCAAACTTGGGCGACTGTCGGTAAACACCGCTAATATCCCTTCCAGGCTTGGGGCTCTGGTATCTCTGGTAAGATGGGTAGTCCAGCTGCTCCGGATATTGAGCAACTTGCGGCACAGATAGAGGATAGCTGGATTCGTGCATGGACCAGCCGGGTGGTGCTGGGATGGGATTGTGTTTCGGACAGACACCCATACTGCCGTCTCGTCCGCGGGATGCCGGACTACAGCCAGAGCATTGAGATATGTTCTGCTGATGCGAACTGTGCTGTGACGTCTGCGTGCTCGGCTGCGAGCTCGGCTGCGAGGATTGAACGCTTTCGAGGTGAGAACGTTGCGGGCTCTGCTGTTGTGGATGATGATGATGATAATGATGATGAAAATTGGTCCCATTTTGAGAGCTGGGCGCGCGCACGCCAAAGGTCGTGAAACTCATCGGCGCCATCGCATCCAATATCCGCGGCTCGAAGAGGCTCTCCCTCGTCTGACAGGAATTATCGCGCATTTCCGGTTCCTCGCTGGACTCCTGAAGGCGCTCTTGCGTGGCATTGCTTACGTTATTGCTTTGGTGAATGTCGGTGATGTCGCTTGCATTATAAGCTATCTCGAGAACGAGATCTTTGGTGTACTCTTGAGATATCATAGTAGTGGGTGGCATGAGTTCTTTACTGGGCAAGACTTCCAAACTTGGCGACTCGCTGCCGCGTTCATGTAAATCCGTCCTAGAGCTCGAGATTGGACACGGGGTTGACTTTCGACCCAATTCATCTAAGCGATTTTCTCTGGATTGCCTTATGTGCTCCTGCGGGAAAGCGAAAGAACGAAACGCGTAATAATACATAAAGCATAAAATTTAATAATCTATTGGGATAGTTGTAGAGGTTCCTAGAGAGAAATATGATATTATTCTGTAATTAAATTTAAAAAATTACATGTATTTAAATTTATGAAAATTAGATGTGTATCTTCTTAAATATAACATAAAGTCATACAACTTTTTATTTTATTTATCGAGTAAAAAGATATTTATGCATTGTGTAAAATTAGTAAAAAACGAGCAAAAATCAACTTTATTGATCTTAAATAATATATTATATTCATGATTATTTTTATTTCATTTTATGTGCATTTCTGCATGATTTAAACGCAATTATTCACTATATCTGCGAAAGAATATTTCAATTATAAATAAGCTGAATCTTTTATGAAGATATGTACGTGTAATTGGATATAAAAAATCTAAATTTATGTGTGTGTGTGTGAAGATTAGTATAATATATATACAGTTAAATTATATATATTAAAATTGCAAAGTAAATTTATAAAAAATTTACAACATATTTTCAATAGTATATTTAATATAGATTTTAAAAGAGAAAATATCTTTTCTTAATCGTTGTTTATACATAAAATTAGATATAAAATTATAAAATTATAAAGTTTTAAATTTTATGCAGCACTTAATTTAATTTGCATGTTGCTAAAATAAATTGTATTAGTTCGTAAAACAAGACAGGAAATAATATAACATATATAATTGCAATAAATTTATCTACGATTTAAATATAAATTAATAATCAGTCTGATTTCTTTGTGCACAGAAATGAAAATGTTAATAACAAACAATTATAATATTAATATATTAATATATATATATATTTCATATATTATAAATGTGACGTACGAAGAAATTTAGATGCATTTTGATGTTTGTTAGCATAATTGTCATTTGGGAAAATACAATAGTTACATGTTCATAATACATGTATTTATAATATAATTAAACAGACAGGATTCTGTAAAATAAATTCATTTATGTCATTAAGAAATTTGATAATAATTGTTCGGTTTTAAACGTTCAGATTAAACGAGAATAGAAATATGCCATAGTCACTGGGAAAAAGCCAGTACAGAATGCTTATTTGTGTAAAAGAATAAAAGAAAATATCACAATAAATATTCTCGAATTTCCGTTTCTCAAATTTTAATGGTAGAAGATAAAGAACGCAGAATCATCGAAGCACATCACTGAAAATCTATAAATTATACGGACTTACTGAAATATTGCGCGATCATAAAAAGAAATGTTCTTGCAGTATGCTGTACGGTCGAATTTTAATAAAATTTGCAACCAAATTTTGATCATAACCAACAATTCTATATAAATAATTCCAGATAAGTATTTGCGAAAAGAAGAATATCTGCGAACAAAATTTATGAAATATTTTCTGAGATATAGCAGAAAACCCTTCACGTACTTATGTAGAGGTTTCGTTTTCCGATCTCGTATACTGAAATCGAAGGCATGAGGGAGTGCGAGTCGTTGGGAAAATAAAATTCACTCACCTGGATAATGCGATGATCGCGGATGAGCTTCCGAACGCAGTTGAAGACGAAAGCGAAGCTCATGCCAAACATAATTAGGGAGAAAACGACGAGGATTATGACGATATGCTGCGAATCAATCAACCGTGATTTCTTCTTCTGTAAATAAAAAAATTAATCGTGTCTTCAATATCCCTGAACATTGTTTAATATAAGTAGTAGTATGTTGATTTAATGTTATGTAAAAAATTGGAATCATATAAAGTGCAAAGATTCATAAAAATTCCGGGCCATTTTGGTTTTTAATTAGTAGAGATATATACTACATACAAATGTAATGTATTTCTCCCTTCCTCTTCTATATATTTTACCAAAATAAATAAATATTTATAAAATATATATTAAATATTAATTATGTAAAAGTAACTCTCATTTTTACTCTTCGCGATTTTTATTTTCTTGTAACTCACAATTTCATTTTCGTATTATACGTATAAATAACGGATTAGTTGCATTATTTCTAACAAATTGTATGAATTTATGTGAATGCATTAAATAATTTTAAGCTATTATAATATATGTAGCGTTATTGAATAAAAGGCTCAAATCAGAGAAATTTGGAAATTGGAAGGTAGAGGTAGGGCAGAATGTACTAATCGTTTCATTCCTTTTATAACTTCTCGCTGTAACTTATTGTTAAATATAAGATTCTGTCTCTCTTCTCTCTCTCTGTCTCTCTCTCTTGACAATGACGTCTCGAAATATACACGGATTCGTCACTGCATCTCCGACATCGTGGCGCAAGAAACACTCTCTTGTCATCATCATTCCGCCCCGTTTGTAACCATCTACGGAGATGTCACACTAAATTTCGCCTTCGTGAAATTTCAGGAGCGCGTTACACATTACGCAGAGTGGGTTCAAGCGGGAGAAATTTGCGAAATATCACAGCATAGAGTACACAAAGCCGTAGGATCGACACGATCCGTCTTCCTCTTTGTTTCTTCGCTTCCCGTCTCTTGCGTATCATCCTTTGTGTCCTGGAATGGCGATGCCATCGCGGGTTTTGCTCCTCGTTTACTTAAGTGCTTGTAATGTAAGAGTAACTCGTTGAAATAGTACTTTATACCACGTTTGTTGTAATTTAAATACAAAGCATTTAGTATTAAATATACTTACAATTGTATGTTATAAAAATTCTTTATTAATAACGACTTAGAGCTTTTGTAAAATTATTTTTCGAGATATAAAATAAATTATAATACATATATATATTTTCTCAATATTATGTTGTCTTTACTTTGTTTTAATATTTCCTATAATTACTATGCATATGTTTTCACTTCCTAAATTTGCACGTTACATGCATTTAATGATTCACGGTTCATGCGAATATCGAATGCATTTTTTCAGATTAAACAAATAAATACGGAAACTTCATCTATCATTAACATAAAACGTTGCAAATTTACATATGCAAGAATAGTATTTAATTATCAAATAATATATTCTAGACAAACAAGATTTATGTTAAATATAAAACGGATTACGAATGTGTACTTTATAATTACCCTTTGTAATTCTTTTTATGCAATTCTCGAAAAAAATATGTATGTAACCTTGCAAAGTATATTCTAATCTTTTTTTTCTCTCTTTTTTTCTCTATGTTAAATACAAATATTGCTTTAAAAAATAATTTATTTTTGAAAGGAGCTCAAATTCGAGAAGAATAAATACTTTTGCAAATTTTATTCAAAAATATGTCATTAAATTGTTCAATAATTCTATAAAAATGTCACAAATAATGCAAGCTATCCATCATGGCAGACATATGTCAGCAATCTCGTAACTGAAAATACTAGTGATAGAGGTAACCTTGCACACTGAAAGGCCTGCGGGGGTGTATTGCACGACCCAATGTATGCAAGTCACGTTATGCATTCAATGCTTACACAGTGATAACTAATTTCATCGGGTCAACCTTGCGTGGCACTGGCACAAAATATCGTTTACTGACACTATTGCTATTCGTGGAAAGCGAGCAATACATTATTTAGCAGTGGAGTAATTTATATGAACTTTATATATTGTTCGTCTATTGTATAGCAATTCGAAGAGAGACGGTACTTTTCTTTTCTTGTAACTTTGCATATATCTTTATGAATTTCGGTAATTACGTTATAATTTTTCAGCGTTTATCTTTCGTATTGTCAAAATTGAGATAGTTACTTCAACAAACATATCTGCCTAAATACAAAATGCTTGACGCGACAGAAAATTTGTACAAGAAATAAATCCACGTAATGTTATATAAGATGTAAAATTATGTTATTTTAGAATTCGCTTATTTTTTTATTTTAAAAATCTATTGAAAACGATTTTTTATATATTATATTTTCTCTTTACATTTATATATGCGTACAAAACTATTTATTAAATTTATAACAAATAAATGTGAAATCCATAATAATTATGTGAACAATTTTACCAAGAAATTAAATATATATAATAAATAAAAATCACAAAGTGAAATGCAAAACTGGAAAAGTAATATAATATAATATGATATAACTGTAAAACGAATGCGTGATCAAAGATATAACTGTATTGTCATATAGGATTTCACTGTGCAACGCAATGCATTCCATACGCGTTCATCGATCATATTTTTATTAGCGGGAAAAATTTTTTTTATCGATTGAACGTCATGTCGCACGGGAAAAGCGCCGGTAAATCGGACGACGACAGAGGAAAGCACCATGACGAGTCGAAATCGTAAATTGTGCCCAAGAGAATCTGTCGACAGGTGTAAAAAAGCAATTAGGCGATGATTGTGTGGATATTTAGTTCTCTCTCTGTCACATGCTATTATAATGCATATCTCGGTGGTGAAATTTTTCAACGTTATTCCTAAGCTTATTCTTCGCTTTCATATTTCTCTTCCTCCCGTTTTCTTCTTCTCTTTCGAAGAAAGAGTATAACCATGATACGCCATCCCATATATGCGCATACGAATAAGCAGCTGAGAGGACGAGAAAAGAGATTGCACAAGTGGATGCTTTCTTCTGCTTCCGCGAGTCTGAGTGGTTTATTGTTATGCTCGTACGCTCGGAATCATTGCACGTTTTCGTGAATGTATCTACACGTCGCAGTACATTGGAGAGCTCCGAGTATGTGACAACTTTTGTCGACTTCAACAGTGAGAAACTATACGATAAATGATATAAATCGGAGTCTGTTTGATAAATAAGACCTTGTTTCGATCTTTAATATAAATGTCTCTCCAATTAAGATATTTAACGAGAAGTTTGAAAATGATTCTGCGAATTCAAGTAATAAATGTCAATTCTTTTTTAATATTATAGAAGAATATAATTATAAGAATATAATTATAAGAATATAATTATATTAGATAATTGATGTATATTATAAGAATATATAATTATATATTAGATAATTGATGTGTATTTCTTATTTGTTAATATTGTATATACATAAATATATCTAACATATAAAAATGCCATAATATTAATTTCGACGATAAACTTTTTTATGAAATTTTAATTTGTTAAATCCCAATCCTCTTTTAATTTTATTAAATTTTTAATTTCTTTTTTGAAAGAAAAACCTTTTCTAATATATATTTATTAAAATGAAAATAAAAATAGCCTATTTAATTAGAGAGATAAAAGAAAAAAAATTTGGTGATTAGAAATATTATATTAATCGTAATTCATAAAATATTTCCAATAGCACGTTATTCTTTATCTGCGCTTCATACCATTTTGTGATCCGACATTGGCTATCAATCGAATGCATAAAACGATGTCCGGATTTATGGTGATTGGCGTCGAAATCGAATACGATCTGAATTCGAGCGCATCGAAATGTTTTATTTTATTCTACAATTCTCCCTTCAATCTCGCAAATTTCACTAACGCGACGCATTTTTTCTTCTTTATTTTAAAAAATGTCAATGTTTCAAATTTTTTAAGAATTTAACTTAACGTACATCGTCGTTCTATTAGAATATCTCACTTCGTAAATTTTTCGTTATGAATATTAATATAGCATGATACGAGAATTTGTGTCAAGTGATATATCATTTTGTCGGCGGATAGTGGACCTTCGCGTATTTTGAAGAAGAGAGGAGGAGAATTTATATTATTCCAGCAATAGAAATTCTTGACGCACGTTGTCCGCACAATACGAACTACCAAAGAGATGAAGATACGAGTAACTATTTTAAATATTTCTAATATTTACGGTACCATATTCGATGTCCGTAAATGCCAGTACTTACTCTGTAAATTCCAGTTGCAGGATGCTACATTAAATTATTAATATCCGCATTAATGTAGACAGAAGACTTATACGATAGCATTTTTATGACACTCTATATAATAAAAAGAGACCATAAAGAAGAATATAAAATCAACATATATCAATATCTAAAATAAAATAGATATAAATCAAATTATGTAAACTAAAATTTTATATTAATATTAAATAAATATTAATTATATTAATTAATTAATTAAATTATATTAGTAATAATTATATTAATTATTATATTAATATTTAATAAATATTAAATATTACATTAAATAAACTTGATATAAATCATTACATGATATAAATCATAAAGTTGATATAAATCATTACATGATTTACAATAATACTTTAGAATCATATTTAACAGAAAAATGAATTAAATTGTGATTTGCTTAAAATTATGAAAATAATGATAAAGCATAGTTCTTCTTTAACCCTTTCACTCCTGTAGGGACATATATGTCCCGATGATATCTCATAAAAACTTTGTTCGTCTTGTACTTGTTGAACCTTTTTTCTCAATACCTCACCCATAGAATTATAAATTTCCAAAAATACAAAATCAGGAGTGAAAGGGTTAAAGGACAAAGCAATTTTCCAATAACACTGAGCTACTCCATGTAACATATCCCATATACCCCCAATCCTGCGCTAAAAGCTATATCCAAATTAGATCTGCCACGTGTAAACTAGTCAAAGTGCGTCATTCATTAAGGTATTTCACGGCATCTCGGACACGCCACCGCGTTGTAACAATGTTTAATGTCAACAAGTATCGTACATTGACACGCATCGCTGGTGTGTTTCCATCTGAGGCGAGAACT